TTTTTCTATTCCACTTACTTTTAATAAGCTGATGATAGTTGTTAGGTAAAGGGAATCCAAATCTTTGCATATCATGGGCACCTCTGCTAGCTGTTAACTTTTAATTAGCATTATTTTCCTATGCCCCATTTTAGCTGCATAATTATTATTATAAAAGACATATTGTCGAACAAAAGTGGAGCTTATAGATGAGTACCAAGATAGTGTGGCCTTAAGTTCAGCTATAGTCTCCCTTAGTTGCATAATGTTGATGCAACCTCGATTTCGAAGCTTGCTCGGAGCCACATAAAAACGTTGTAGAGACTGCCTAATCTTGCGTCATCCGCCATAGTATTCATAATAATTTTCCTGAATAAAAAATTCTTAGTCGTTTTTATTGGTTGTAACTCTGTGCTAGAGCTGGCGCCTCGCACTGATTATGCTGATTATGCTGCCGGTAAAACGTCTAGGAATGTACCAAGTCAACGGTTTAATGCTGTAAATGATCAGAAATAGGCATGTTCTACATGGTTTCCCTGCCGGCCAAGCCTAGCTGGGAGAACGAGGTTGAAAAATAAGATTACAGACTCGCCAAAAACCAACGGAGAAGCGTCGTCTGACCTGTTGGTCCCTCCGACCGGCCGGTCGGCGCCCAATTTGTCCGACCGAGCCGGGTCCGCCAGACACTGTAGGCAGCATACAGGCAGACCGGAGTGAGGAGGCCGTGAGCAAACGCTGCCATCCAGAGACCGAGGGAGCCGAGCCAAAAGGTGAGGCAGATGAAGCAGATCGCGATGGCGGCATTGTCGGGCCGAACACGAATTGAGCCCTGACAACCCTCGCCAGTGGTATTCTCGACCGGGTCTTCGGCGAGCTCGACGTATCGGTCGTCGGGCCGGCCAACATTCCCGGTCCCGGGTGCAGATGAGGCGGCAGTTGTAGGTCGCCTGAGCGGGATTGGTAGACCTGAGCGAAATCTGAGGCAGCCGAGACTGATGGTATGGGATCGGAATGAAGAGGGAAGTGGGAATATGTATCGTTTATGAGGAGAAAGTTGGATTTCGAGGAATATCTTGGTTGCTATGTGCTGAGCTCACTTCAACTTCGGCAGGTGTGCGTGCGATGAAGAGATTTAAAGGTGGATCTAACCAGAAAATGACTACGGATTTCTCTCTCTGCAACATTCTGGACAATGCCACCCTCGAGGTAATCTTCTTCGGCTCCAGTGAAAACGTGCTAGGCTTTTGAGTTAAGGCAAACTCTTGAATTGTTGGTCTGAATCTTTTGTATGAATAACGTTATCCGTCATATAACAGGCAAAAGCTTAGCACATTTTTACTGTAATCGAGAGAGATCGCCTCGAGGACGGCGCCAACCAGAATGTTTCAGTAAAGCCAACCGAAGATTGACCAATATAAATCCGCCGCCATCTTCTGGTGCGCGCCACCTTCAATTATATTTCGCCATATACTTTAATTTGAAATGGAAAAGGCTCAACAAGATTTGCAGTCTCTCCTTCAAGAATAAACTTCACTATCAGTCCATAAATAAAACCAAACTACCCAGACTGATTAAGTTCTTATTTAAGCATTCATACCATTTTTGAGACCTACTCATACCAAAAATAAGTAGCGTCATCGTCGACACTTCCAAAATAAACGGGATTTTAGCCAGGCTTTTCGACCAACTGGTGCCCATGTCTTTAGAGGATAGTTGTGGGTGTTGATGAGAGACAGTGAGGCGAGGTGGAAATAGCTGTCCAGTTCAGCCTGGATAAGATGGCAAATAGAATTAAATGCGAATAAAAGTTGGGCTTAGGGGAAGCTTTCGGCCTACAAGTGTTGAGCTCACTTTCAGCCGAATTAGAGAGTGTCCTGAACTTCTAGAAGCTTGAGCATCTATATGTTTGCG